AGTAGATAAGCGAGACGCTTTTCTCTTTTCCGCACGCAGAATGGCTCGAGCGCCCTTCTCGGCGGCAAGAACGATCGCTCGAGCTGTTTGGCGACGGGATGCGCGGACCGCCTCGCGCCTGCTAGAGACCTTTCCTGCAGCGGCTGATTTTCCCCGTGTGATTGAGTCGCAGGTGGAGCGGGGGCGCGCGGCTCCCCCCCATCGGCGGCGCAACGCGCGGCAGCTCAAGGCCTTCGAAGAAAATGAAGATGAGATGCGTGCTCGAATGGCAGTTCAGGGTGGCGAGGGAAATTGGGGATCCAAACTTGGCATGCGCATCCGCGCTCTTGAACATCGCGCTCCGATGTGGGCGCCTTTAGCTCGTCGGCTGGCTGTCCGAAATGTTTCGGTCGATGGATCGCCTGCCGCTGGCCCGGATGGGAACTTAACTGCGTCGGCACTGGGGAGTGTCTTTTCGAGGAAGGAGTGGGGCGAGAAAGCTGCTGTTGCTTGTGCTTCGAGACATGTCTCGCCGGTTGGGTTCGCCAGCTGCCCTCCGCCGCATCTCAGCATTTTCGATGGCGATTCAGCGGGCGGCGGACTCTGCGCCTGGATGTGACAGACTATGCTACGCTGCGTGGTCTTCAAATTCTTTTGGGGTGGAGCTCCTCCACGACACGATGCTCGGCACGTTCCACGGCGTTGCGCCGCTCGCCAGCGAGAGTCTCGCGTTGCAAGTTTTTACTTAACAGCGAAGACTGATAGGTTTCTAGTGGTGTCAAAAGAGAGCATCATGACTCCTCAGGGGGGTCGGGGCGGGACCCGAGGAGGCTGCCGCCGAAGCCGAAATCGCTTGGGACATCCTCGCAAAATCGTTCTTGGTGCTCCCAGAACTCCATTCCCGGGCCACACTTTTGGATGCCCGGAGCCAACTGTAGGCCACTTCGTGCTCTTCGACTTCCCAGAACTCCATTCCTGGGCATGATTTTGAATGCCCGGAGCCAACTGTAAGCCACTTCGTGATCTTCTAGTTCCCAGAACTCCATTCCCGGGCCACATTTTGGATGCCCGGAGCCAACTGTAGGCCACTTCGTGCTCTTCGACTTCCCAGAATTCAATTCCTGGGCATGATTTTGAATGCCCGGAGCCAACTGTAGGCCACTTCGTGTTCTTCTAGTTCCCAGAACTTAACTCCTGAGCCACATTTTGAATGCTGAGGCAGGCTGATGCTGCGGCCGAGGCAGGCTGAGGCTGAGGCAGGCTGAGGCTGAGGCCGAGGCTGAAGGCAGACTGAGGCTGAGGCTGAAGCAGACTGAGGCTGAGGCCATGGCTGAGGCTGAGGCTGAGGCTGAGGCTGATGCAGGCTGAGGCTGAGGCAGGCTGAGGCTGAGGCCGAGGCTGAAGGCAGACTGAGGCTGAGGCTGAAGCAGGCTGAGGCTGAGGCTGAGGCAGGCTGAGGCTGAGGCAGGCTGAGGCTGAGGCTGAGGCAGGCTGAGGCTGAGGCTGTGACTGCGACTGCCGTTGCCGCTGCGACTGTCATCGCGAATGCGACTACGACTGCGAGAACAGCAGAATTCTACAACTGGATTTTCATATGAATCTTAAGGGGAATGCTTTCAGATATGCTTCTACACATCGCTGTTAGGTTGCTTTGCCGGGATAATTTCTGCCAAAAGGGGAACAGTGGGGGATGCGCAAACCGGATAACGGGCTAGGGGTGCCTACTCGGTCAGGGCCTTGGGCCTGCGCAGCGCGAGTTTCAATGTGATCTCGGCGGCGATGAACATATCGATTCAGACACTTTTGGCTGCGCGTTTGCCCCATTCTCAGTGAGGGTTCGTGAAACGCCGTTACCTCGCCATGCGTATCTATAAACTTGACGCAGCTGCCAGGGTCTATCCCTGTCGCCCTGAAGCTGACCATGATTGTCCCATTCTTCTTGCGCTTGATTATGGACGCGCCTTTCCTAGCCTGTCCCAGCCGCGTCTTCTGCTGGTGCTCCGCAGAATGGGATGTCCATGTGCATTGCTACGTTTCGTCGAACTGCTGCGTTCGGCCATCGATGCGGGTGATTTCACGCAGGGGGTCGCTGCGACGTGCTGTCTGGGCTCGCTCTGGAAATTATCCAGGGCGATGCTCTATCGGGGTTGCACTTCGCTATTGCGCTGGGGCCGACACCTGCTGGGCGCGTCCGTGAGTATCGGGGCCCCGAAGAAAAGTCTCAGCCGAATGCGCGCTGGCGATATTGGTGGATTTCCGAAGCAGTCGGTGACTTTGCGGGCCCCTGGCCTGGATCATGAAAGCCGCGGAACCTGGTGCTCACCTTCGGCTGGGACCAGCGAAATGTCCCCCGTGCCTGCAGCTTAACTGCTCTCGGAGGATATCAGCAAAAGGGCGCGTGAATATCTGGCCCGTGTATTCCGCAATGGAAAGCTTCGAGGTGGAAGGGGGAACTGTTGTGCTTGGGTGCGTGGGGCGGAGCCCAGGGCTACGGCCGCGGATTCTTGGTCTGGTCCTCGCGGAAAATGCCAGTCTCGGGCGACAGCGATAGGTCGTGGAGCCCAGGCCACATCTTTACCGAGTATTCTATGTCAAACTAGATGCCCGGTTGTCCTCAGCTATGCCGCGCAGTATTTGCCGCCGCCCAAGCGCGCGATTGGCGTGGAACTTGGTGCCCGCGTTTCTGCATTCCGTGTTCCGCTCGGCACGTCCCGTGCCAGAGCCTGGCTAGTGCTTCGAGATTGAGGGGGGGGGCGACAGTTTCACCGCTACACCTACTCTGCATGCTAGCTGATGGGAAGATGGCCATTGATGCGATTCCAGAGTTCGAGCGCGCACATATATATATATATATATATATATATATATATATATATATATATATATATATATATATGTGTTTGGAAAGCTTCTCTGGGACCGAGGAGAATCGGGATGCAGGTCGGCTCGCTGTCTCACCGCCCGGGAGGAACTATCCTAACCATAGGGTTTCATGCTCTTCTGTTGAATATATGAAGCGGGCTAGGAAAGGAGGGAAGGATGAGCGTCATCGCGCCGCTGCTGACGCCGCTACTGCTGCCAAGCATCAGAGCCCACAACAGAAAGCACAGAGGTCCGCGATCCAGGCTTGCTCCGAACTCTGGCCGCGAGATTGTTTGGAACACGTAACCGAAGGCAGGCAGCTCAGGTGGTGGCCTCAATGAGGCGCAGATATCATTGCCATCGTCTTTTGCGGAGATCAAAAGAGTCCTGCGACAGGTTCCTCCCTGGTCCTGGGCTTGGTTGAGGACGGCTGCGGGGGGTGGCTAACGTCGCATCGCGTTCTGAGTGGGCGAGGCAGGGGTTAGGCTCGTGCAATTTCGGATGTGAAAATTGCATAGATCGGCGGGTTCCTTGCGCTTCGTGTGCCAGGCTCGCCTGGTCTGCGTCGCTCGCGTTCAGATGTCGGGTCCTCGCCTCGGACCCTGTGTATCGCGGGGGGGGTTCAGCGCTGCGCCGTCCAGATTTTAGAAGAGGTCTATATCGCCGCGCACGTTTATCACGCCCTTAGGCGCCCCCCCTGAGAATGCACATATACCCAGCACTGGTGAGATGGCGGCGCGAGCAGCTCTCGGAGACCTCGGGCTGAATCGGCCAGGGGCTGGGGTCGAGGAGGGCTAGGTCGGATCCGCCCCCCCCTTTTCCACGCTGTGCCCCCCCTCCGCTCCGTTGCCATGTTGGCCCGCGGGCTTCTGAGTGGCCGCGCGTCCCCGAGTGGCCGCGCGCCCCCGCCGAGAGCGGGCGTCTCTGCCGTGGCGGCTTGGGGATGCCGGGGCGCCTGGGGGCTTGCCTTTTTTAACTTCGGAGTGGGACTGTCAGAACTGGCGTTCACAGTGTATTCGCGTTCTTCCCAACCTTGCTCGCGGGCCTCGGTTGCATGACTGGATGCCGCTCCTGCGCGCGAGCCCTCGCGCGCAAGCTCCCGCTCGCCGAGGCGCAATGGGGGCGCCGCATGCGTCGCGATCGATTTCGCGCTGCCCATCCAGGCCCTGTCGCCGCTCCGTCGCAGCCTGGAGTGGCGACGCGGCGAGTCGACCGCGTCGGGGAAGGTCTCGACCTACCGCTCCTAGATGCAGGGCGCGCTGGGCCAGGCGGCGCGCGCGGGGACCTCGACGATCTCTGCGTCTGCGTGGCCCTTCCCGACGATTCGGCGAGGACGGCGGCCGATGTCGCAGCAGGGGGTGGCCTGGACTTTGACGACCTGCGCGCCCACGCGGCCCTACTCGAGGACAGAGCGAAGAAGGGGGCCGACGAGACCGTCGGGCCTAACCTCGCCACCATGGCCCTCTCGGCCAGGCAGGAGAGCGAACAGGGCCGCCAGAAGTCTCAGCCTCTCGAGCTGTCCGCGCACTTGGACGGGGCTGTCGAGGCGTTCAAGCAGACGCGGCTGGCGGCGACTGGGTTGCCAGCCCGCAGAATGGCGAAGGCGGTCCCGCCCGTTGCTCTCCGCCTCCGCACCGCGGAGGAGACCCTGGCCGCCGCGCAGCCAGCAGCTGACTCCAAGAAGGACGCCGACGACGAGCAGCAGCGCGCGCAGCGGGATGACCGCGCGGTGTTCTCTCGGAAGACTGATGACCCAGTTGTGCCGACTCTGCAGCTGCCGCACGACATTGAGCAGCAGTGTTCGAAGTCCCGCGGCCCGAGAGTCGGAGATGCCAAGGGGGCCGCCGACGACGAGCAGCAGCGCGCGGAGACCAGCGACCCGATCGCGGGGCGCGAGCAGCGGACGCGGGCGCAGTGCCATGTTCACCACCTACCAGACCACCCCAACCCAACCCGAAGGCTTCGATTTGCCCTCCATTTCCAGTGGGGGGGGTCGGGGAACGTTGAAAAAACACATGGAACCCGTACCCCCCCCCCAACCCGAAATTCGGGTCAAATTCGGGTCTTCGGGTTGGGTTGGGGTGGTCTGGTAGGTAGTCACACGTCACCCTCTCCGAGTGCTTGGCGGTGATGACCGACCACCGTGGACAAGCTCATGGTCATGGTGGACAAGCTCCAGGCGTTCCCGGGCGCGCAGCGGCAGCCCGGCCTGCCCCGCAAAACGAAGATGTACGCGCGGGTTCTGCCAGACTGGCATGTGCTCGCGCGGCGACGCGCGCCGCTTCTCGCACGAACAGCAGGGCGAGAAGATCGTGTAGGCGCCGCATGTGTTCTACGGCGACCGACGTGGACATGACGCTCGCGCTGGTGCTGCCGCAGACCGTCGCGAAGAGGCTGTCGGATGTGACCGTGCCAACTTTCGACCTGGTGCTGCCGCTGATCGTCGTGGAGCAGCTGGATGCGACCCTGCCGACCCCCATGGAAGTTCCGAGGGTGCTCATCTCCCTGATAATGGGCATGACCATGCTCATCCCAAACTGCTGGTCATGGAGCCGGTGATATTTCCCCTTCGCGGCAGCAGGGTGCTGGTGCCAGTCTCCGCGCGCAGGCTACTGGATATGAGAACGTGTCATATGCCTTCTGGCTCCCTCTGCATATGTAGGACCAGGTGATGGAGGTGCGCCCTCCGCTGGTGGAGCTGCCGCAAATCGTCGCGCAGCTGCTGGTAATTCAGACTCGCGTGATGGAGCCGCTGCCGATCTTCGGGGTGTGCGTGCTGATCCTCTGTCTGTAGTCGCAGACCGACGTGGCGATGATTGTCGTGCTGGCCCTGATGCAGATCGTCATGGGGCTGCTGACGAGCGTCGTGTTCCCTGAACAGCCACCGGCGGAGGTCGGGCCGATTGTCTCCGAGCTGCCCTTCCCCATGGAGATGGTCGTGGAGAGTGTCTTCTACCTCTTGGAGCCGCAGAACGACGTGGATATGCTGTTCGTGCTGATGATGCCGCAGATCGTGGTGAAGTGGGAGATGATGTTGGGTGGGATCGCGCTGAAACTTGTGCTGCGCGGGCCGGAAGTATCCCTGCTGCCCCCGACCGTCGGGCGCGTCGCCGAGATGCTGCGGTGGCGGTGCATTGGAAGGCTGTGCGCCGTGCTGAGCTGTGGGCGAGGTGGATGAGCGCGTCGGCGGCTGACGCGAGTGCCGCGGCCACGGCCTACTGCAGAGCCTGTCGACCCGTACGTCTGCAGAGGTCCCTGGAGTCCAAGACGAGCCAGAGTGTGACGCACATGGTCCACGGATCCACAGTCCTGAGTGGGGACTGGGCCTCCCGCTCCACCCTTTCCCTCCGCCGCTCCGGCCTCCTTGCCCTCTGCCTTTCCTCTTCTGCGTTGCATGTGCACGTGTGCAACCTGATCAAGCAACACGATGAGCGAGCGCGCGCGCGAGTGTGGTAGATCGGCCTAGTTGGTTTGGGATAGCCCGCCCCCATCTCAGACGCTCCAGCCTCCTCCTCCTCCTCCTCCTCCTCCTCCTCCTCCTCCTGGCCCCTCCATGTGCTCCTCATACTCCTTCCTGCCTCCCCCCCCCCGCCCCCTTCCATTTTTCCACAATTGAGCAATATGAATATTACTCTCTCCCCTGGTGGCGTCCGGGCAATGGCCCCGGCCCCCCTGTATAGGTTTTCTACACCTGATTCCCGGGAAACGGGTTTTCGTCTGGGTTTTTGTTCAACATGCTGCCCTCGCTGAAGCGCTGGCTTCCTTTTCGGGCTACCGCTCGTTCCGAATCTTGCTCCCGCTGCAGCGTTGGCCTCATTTCCGCGCTTCCGCTCGTTCCGAACCGTGCTCCCGCTGCAGCGTTGGCGTCATTTTTTTCCAGCGCCATGCCACGGCATGGTTTCCGATCCTTCCAAGTAGGCCCCAAAATCTGAAAGATGGCTTCCCGAAGAAACCATCGGAAGCGATTCTACATTCGGTGTCGATTACTTGACTTGTTGGGCCGCAGAAGCCCCCTCCTCATTTTGGGGCGTCGCCACGCCATGCTATGTCAGGCTACGCGTTCCTCTCCAACACCATGCTATGCCATGTAATGCTCTGCCATGCTGCGACATCCGATTGTTCGAATAGGGAGGAGATCTGCGCCATGCTAAGAGATGGGATAAAAGGGGTAGGACGTCAGATATGACGCGAGCGCACCTAGGTTGCCTCCCTCCCCTCCCCTCCTTCCCCTCCCTCCTCCCCTGTCCTTCCGGGCCCTGCCAGCCCGACGCGGAGCTCGAGCCCGCCCTGGCCGACGCCGCGCGCTCCCAGGCCGCCGCCGCAGCCGCCCAGCGCTCCGTGGTCGTCCAGGCACTGCGGGGGGGAGTGGGGCGACCGCGAGTCTCTCGGGTCGTATGCGATGGCGCGCCTTCATTCTCCAATAGCGTTTCGCCGGAAGGTTCTGACAGCAGTTCAAAATAGAAGAGTCCCACAAGGGAGAGAGGGAGTCCCAGGACGTTTGGTCCGACAGCCGTTTCGCCTGAGACCCTCCGTCATACTTTCTTCAGGAACCCTGCTCTCGCCTCAATGCGTGCTACAGTTTTGGTTTAGACGGCAACGATCCCTCGAACAAATGCGCGGGGGAGCGCATAGGGGATCCCAGACATTTTCGATGGCTCTCGGCGATTTTCCAGCCCCGGGTGATGTGCCAGCAGCTGCTTGTTCGATGGCCCTCGACGTTTTCCTTGCCTCGAGATGTTTTCCAACAGCTACGTTTCTCGATGGCTCTCGGCGGCTTCCCAGCCTCGGGGTGTTTGCCAGCAGCTACGTTTCTCGATGGGTCTCGGTGGTTTTCCAGCCTCGGGATGTTTGCCAGCAGCTGCGTTCTCGATTGCTCTCTGTGTTTTTTGTCCAACCTCGGGCAGCCTTGCTTGAATGGCATCCTGCCGCCCCCGATTCCACCACCCCGCAGACATTCCAAACAGCGCTGGGCTGCAAAAGGTGTGCAAGTGTGTCCCGCCCTGCGTGAAGCCCAGATTTCTTCTCTGGCTCCGTTTTCCCTCATCCATGGAAGAAGGCTTGCCAGGGTGAACATGAGAATCGCTTCAGAGGGAGGGGTCCTGGACGTTTTCGGATGCCCTCGGCGGTTCTCAAGCCGCCGCGTCTCGCCAAGGGCGTTCCGGGGTGGCCCGGATCGTGCCGAGCTGCCGCAGGAGACCCGAGCAATGCCCTGAGGATTGGATACGGGGATCGCTCGGGTCAGGCGAAAGGGGAGGAGGAGGAGGAGGAGGAGGAGGAGGAGGAGGAGGAGGAGGAGGAGGAGGAGGAGGAGGAGGAGGAGGAGGAGGAGGACGGAGGACGGAGCAGGGAGGACGGAGGACGGAGGGGAAGGAGGAGGAGGCGGAGAAGGAGGCGGAGGAGGAGGAGGAGGAGGAGGAGGAGGAGGAGGAGGGAGGAGGAGGAGGAGGCCAGGGGTGTACGAAGTCTGCTGCATGCAGCTGGTTTCGGCCCCGCCGCCGGGCGCTCGCCGGCTGCTGACAGTTGTGCCTGTTCGGAGGCTCTGGGGAACCCTCTCGTGGCCACGGCCGGCCCGCCTCGGGACTCTGGAAAGAACGCGCCCCGGGAGAGGCAGGGGTCGGGCGAAGAGAACTATGCACATGCACCGATCCTGGCAAGGCCCATTTTTGACCCAGGATCGGTGCATATGCCTTCCTGGCCAAGGTAGGAGGGCGTATGCACCGATCCTGGGCTCAGGATGAGCCTGGCCAGAATCGGTGCATGTGCATAGTTCTTTTCCCTCTAAGGGGGGGCTGATATTGAGGCAGGGATTGCGTGCACAGCCAACCCCACAAGAGCAAGAACGTAGGCCAACGATGCAGAAGCCGTGGGCGTCCACACTGCAAGCGCTGCACGCAGAGGCTCCGAACCCTGAAGTTGTCACGACGAAGTCTCGGAAGTTTTCGTTGTTTCTTCAGGGTTTTCCCGTCGCGGGATGCCTACCAGCAGCTGCGGCTCGCCCAGAGCGTTCCGGGGATGCCGGAATCGTCCCAAATGGCCGTTTGGGGCCCGAGCGTGGCCAGAAAGCCGAAATCCTCGCGTCGCGAAGAAATCACGACGGGAGGTTTTGGACAACTTTCTGCCTCCGGGGGCCTTCACCCGGCCCTGGGACTGTCCAAAAACGGCTCGGAATCAAACCAGGTCCCCGGGAAGAGGTCCAGACCTCTGGGGAGTCACGCTGCGAACAGAAAACACGACGTCGGACGTTTTGGAAGGAGGGGCTCTTCGACCATTCAGCCATGTGGGGCGCTCCAGGAAAGGGCCCAGCCATCGAGGGATCGAGAGGCTGACTCCCTTTCCTCGGCGGGAAGCCCTGCGAGAGGCTCGCGGAAGGCGGCGGAAGTACATTGAGGGCCGCTCCGCCGGTGGAAACCGGCGGAAGTGTGAATCCCGTCCCCAAGAGAGTATAATGTTTTGGGGTTCCGGGTTTGTCGAAGTCTGCCAGGTGGCGCCCACTGACAGTCAATCACGCACACGCATTATTTCTAAGCTTGTTTCCATGTGTATTCATTGTTATTTGTTCTTTATTTTTGTTTGTGTTCTCTTTCTCTCTCTCTCTCTCTCTATATATAAATATATCTCTTTTGTTTTCTCTCTCTCTCTCTCTCTCCCTCTTTCTCTTTCTCTATTATCCCCCTTTCTTTCTCTTTTGGTTTTCCTCTCTCTCTCTCTCTCCCTTTCATCCCACCCTGTAACTTCCTATCCATCCTTGCTGTGCTGATCCTTCACTCCTTTGTGCATTCGACGCATTTTCGGCTGAAGTCGTCTTGGGGGAGATCCGGTCCCACGGAGTGCTCACAGGCCTCGATCTCGATTCCTCCCCGTTGCAGCGAGGACCCAGAGTGGCAGCGAGCTTATCTTCAACTGGGCAAATACGTACTCGGAGGTCTCTCTCAGAACTCGAGTTGTGCCGGCCTTCTACATAAACGCAGAGTGCACGTGCATCTACATACATATTTTACATACCGTGTGCTGAGTGGTCGAGTGTTTCCCAGTTCTCTCCCTCAGCTGCCCATCCATGTCTTTGACGGTGTCTTCGGTACTTCACCAACCTGTGCTAGCGAAACTCATCGACCGCTACTTGTCCCACGGACCTGAACGATGACTGTCTCAGATCGCACGGACATCGATGGCCTACTACAACCTGATGGGCCCAGTATTTTGGGAGCCTGGAGGAGGCTTGGAGGAAGTTTCAGGCCGAGACGACCAGCCGCGAGCAGCAGACATACGAGTGGAGCCTAGCGAGGCTCAGCTTCCGCGAGATGCGCGGGCGGGCAGCATAATCAGAGGACGGCAGCTCAATCCCATATCCAGACCCTCCTTGGATGATGAACCACCCTTTGATGGCGATGCGACCGATGATGAGGAGTTGGAGCTCAAACGATTCGCGACGCCGTACCTACGTTCGCAGCCAGAAGCACAGAATCAGGCATTGTCCTTCCTGAAGTCGACCTTGTCCAGGAGTTCAGGTCGCACCCAATGAGAGGCAGGCGCCTCGCTGCGATCCTGGCTGTGGGAGCTTCGGCACCACTGCCACCTCCGAGCTTTCCTCGCCACATTCCTCTCCGTCCTGTGCCAATTTGTCGTTTCCAAACCCTCGGGGTTTCGTGTCCTACGAGGAGGCGCGCTCTGGAGCACCATCGGAGTGGCCCTCATCGCGTCGGGAGTGAGTCGTCTTCGCCGTGAGATGCTACAGCTCCGACCAGCTCGCTGGGCACGACGTGTTTTCCTAATGCTTCCTCCCGAGTAGCGCCGAGGTTCGGCCGTTCGCAGAGGGGGGTAGGAGGAGGGGCCGGGGGGAAGGCTTTTTTCGAAGCACCCGTGCGTCTTAGAAGGCGCGGGCCTTCTCTAGACATGCAAGGCCGGCGCCTCCTAAGAAACTGCCCCCGTCTAAGAAGCCCCCCCCCTTGCCTCCCCCTGCTCGCCGCCGAGAGGTTTGTTCGATTGGGATGACAGTATCTTTTAGATTTCGACGCTGAGCACGCTGGGCCACGATCTGAGCCCGCACAAGGCGGTCGCGTACATCTTGGGGCCCTACGCCGCGCAGTACATCGGAAAAGCATGTCTCAGAACAGGGGCCTTTCCAGGACTTTTCGGAAGAGTTCGAGAACACATCCGAGCGTACCTCCGCCCCCGTGTCCGACCAGGGAATCAACCTCGTTACCGTGAGATGCGTAGGAGTGGCGGATCCATCTTCTCCCCCCCGCTCCTGCGGGCGCCGGCCGAGAGTGCGCCCTTCCACTGCGAGGCGCTCGCGATCCGTCGATTCGATCCACCCGCGAACCGTGCCGACGCGAAAGGGTCCGAAATAGTGAGCCCCCGTCGGGGTCTTGGGGCCCTCCATCAACCACCGAGGCCCAAGGCCCCCCGACGCCGACCCCCCACCATGGAGACGCCCCCAGCCCCGTCGGACTCCCCCGCCCGTCTGGCTCACGGCTGCGCTGGCCACCGCACCCGTCCCCGACGCTCCCAGACATGGCCTTCTTGCACGGTGCCCTGGGGCACTCTCAGAGCCTGCTCCGTATTCGACGCTGCGCGCACTACAGATTCGAGAAAGGTTCCACTCAACGCAAGAGGGAAGACCCCTGTGGACTCTGGAGCCTCAACGACTGGGCTTGCTACTGGCGTTCTTACCGGGCCGCTGGCGGCCTCTACCGACGCGCAGGTACCTTTCTCGAGCTGAAGTAGGGCAACGGTTGTTCCTTGCCATGGTCCTGGCCGATGAGTTGCTCTTGAACTTTACAAGATTACGCATGGCCAGATACTTGAAACGTCTTGGGCTCCCAGCTGCACGACGACCGATGCTGGAGCTACCTCATGAATTCCAAGCAAGCAAGAGGCATGCAACTTGTTGTGCGCAGCACTATTCAGATGTTGACGCGGTCAATGAAGTTTGAAACCGCGCGGAATTGGCACAGTCGCCCCCCCCCCCCTGCGCTGCCTTTCGCGCCCGACGGGCGTCGGAGGACAGGGCGTCAGCCAGCCGCTTTTGTGCTAGCTACTCGTCCGACTCCCCCCCTCAGTCAAGGAATCCAAGCGTGTTTCAGGGCCTCTCAGCCTCCAGCAACTACCAGACCCATGGCGATTATCAGTGCGGGGTGCACCCAAGGTCTCGCTCCGAGCAGCAGCGACGGGGCTCCTCGAATGGGCCAGGGCAGTCCGCGCGGCCCCGACCGTGGTGCGAAGAGGCCACATGAGGCAGAGTTTCCGCACTGGTCGCAGCATGGAACCAGCTGTTCCCCTCCCCGCCCCTCCTCGGCAATAGCAGGATCTAACATGTAAGATGGCTTCCTCCCTTAACCAACCTAGGCACAACATCTTCATTGGAGACGATCGATAAGCAGACAAGAACAGTGCAGCGAATGGGGCCGTTACTATACGATGGCTCCATCAAGCAGCAGAACTCGACGATGGTTGGAAGGTAAGGCATGGTATATAGAAATATGACGCAGCGCGCAGGTGCATGGCTCTAGTCTTTGGCTTTCAGTGGACTATCCTCCTGGCTTCGCACCCAGAACATGCTCCCCCGCCCGACCAAACAAACGAATCCCCCTTGCGTGCCCCCTTCCCGATGGAGCGAGATGCTGTACCCAGGTTCGCGCGGCTGCATACGACGGATTGCGAAATATGCAAATGCCCCTGGCACGTCGGGCTACCGCCACGTTGGGCGAGCGGCTCGGCGCTTGCTGCAGGCGAAGTCCTCGACACGTGCGCAGCTCCGAAGGAGATGACAATATACGTGGGCTCGGCCCTCCTCGTGATGATCGGTGTTTGCGCTGCGGATGCCCCCCTCGATTCCATATCCATCGCTGTTGCAGGCGCTGATCGGGCTTGCGAACAATGCAGTGCCCACGCCATTAGCCATGCCTGGAAAAATCTCTCCCGAGAAATCAGAAACGTCCTGGCACGGATGCGGCCCTCGTCAAAATAAAGGAAGACACATCAAAGCAATGAGCTTCTTGTCGGGGGCCCAACCTAACTAATCCACTATCAACCTCTCAATTATAACAAAAACTATGTTAGCGTATTGTTGGCTCTCTTTCTCTTGGTGGGATTGGGTACGATTTTCGTGGATTACCTATCGGTGGTGCATTATCGGGCGTAGCTTTATCTATCCTTCTTTTCGGTTTGAGTTCCAGGCGACCTCCCACCCTCGCCGCTTTGAAGCTTCAGGTTTACATATCTTTTCCACGTCAGGCTCCATGGAGATCCGCCAGTGCAGGCGCGTGGCTGACATCCTGGGCGACATCTGGTTCTCATCCACGGATTCTCTTCTGGCATGATCGATGGACAAGTGGGCAAAGCCCGCGGACATCACGGAGACCGCGTCCAAGTCGAGTTCCTTGACGTGGATGGTGTGAAGCTGACCAAGCAGTCGAATCTTCGACACGACGCTAAAGAGTTCGACGGCCTGCTGAGGTCGGGTACCTACCCAAAACGTCCAGTTGGCCGCCCTGCTGGGTTGCCGAGGACCTTTTTTTGTACTCGCAGAGCTTCGGCCACTGCGACATCTTTTGCGAGTTCCTTTGAGCAGACTGCCGCCCTCTCTCCTGACAGCATGCGAGACATGACCGAATCTACGAGCGATAGACAGACATATGCGGATATATCCACCGCCTGCCGAGGTCTCCGATTGTGGATCTCTCAGGCCGTGGTGGCGGAGTAATCCCCTCTTGGCAACTGTGCACGGCTATGATGGCGATGATGATGGTGACGATGGTGTTGGTGATGGTGATGATGATGCCGATGATGATGATGATGATGATGATGATGATGATGATGATGATGATGATGATGATGATGATGATGATGATGATGATGATGATGATGATGATGATAACGATTGCGACGTTGCCGGTGCTGGTGGTGGTGGTGATGGGGAGGAGTTTGATGAGAGGATGCGTACGGGTATGTGGGTGATAGTGGTGATGGTGAGATTGCTGATGCTGACGGTGATGATGATGACGATGACGATGGTGACGGTGATGAAGGTGATTGTGGTGTTGATGGTTAGTTGGATAAGGGTGAATATGACATTGACGACACGTATGATGATGAGGATGATTAATATGATGATGATGGTGAGGATGATGGCGATGATGGTGATGGAGGACAACGTCCACGATGCCGTTGATGAGGAGGACAACGACTACGATGCCGTTGATGACGGTGACGATGACGATGACAACGACGAGGAAGAGGGGGAGGATGATGATGAGGAGGAGGATGAAGAGGAGGAGGCGGAGGTGCAGGACGATGGCTAGGACCTAGGAGGAGGAAAAGGTGGTGGAGGAGGAGGAGGAGGAGGAGGAGCAATAGGTTGGAGGAGGAGGACAAGGAAGAGGAGGAGGAGGAGGACGACGACGACGACGACGACGAGGATGGAAAGGACGGAGGGAGGGAAGGAAGGACGAGGAGGGGGAGGGGCAGGATGAGGAAGAGGAGGAGGAGGAGGAGGAGGAGGAGGAGGAGGAGGTTGGTCGAGGAGGAGGAAGGAGGAGGAGGAGGAGGCGACAGAAGCACGGTGATATTGCAGTAGTTAGCGTGCGCGCCACCCCTCCGTGGACAAAGTGCCACTCACTTTCCGTGCGCGCTATGCGCGCCTCTCCCTCCCAACCCCATGTTGTAGACCTAACGACAGTCGTGCACGCTAGACGTTTCTTTGTTGATCGCGGACTTGCACGCTAAACGTTTTGTTCGTTGGCGATGTTGTTCGCCCTTGTCACTTTTTCGCGGTGACCAATCGGCCGAGAGAAACTCCAGGGACTGCTGAACCACATCGACATTCTGAAAACAAATGAGCTTTAAACGTTTTCTCCTGAGGGATCGGATGTGCACGCAACACATTTTGTCTGCGAGATCGAGAGGGCACGTTGAACGCTGAACAACCGTGTGTGGAGTGCACCTCTGACCGAAGGGCACTCTATACACTTGACCGTTTAGCGTACACTTGAAATTCCCGGCGCGCACGCTGAACAGTGCAACTTTACCGTAGGAAGGGGAGGAGGCGGGGGAGGGGGAGGAGAAGGACGGCAGTAGTAGGAGGAGGCGGGGGCGGAGGAGGAGGAGGAGGAGGAGGAGGAGGAGGAGGAAGAGGAGGAGGAGGAGGAGGAGGAGGAGGAGGAGGAGGAGGCGGAGGCGGCGGCGGCGGCGGCGGAGGGTGGAGATGGGAGGAGTGGGCGGGGCAGGCCGCCGAGATCCGCGAGGGCCTGCGGCAGTGGGGCCTCGCGAGGGCCGCTTGCGCCCGCGCGGGGGCCCTGGTCGCCGCGAGCCTGCTGCGGCTCCAGGTGGAAGTGGGCGCACAGGCTGGGTAGTCGAAGGCCAGACTGTCAGATTGGACTGGGCCCCGAGGGCCAATCTGGCCCGGCCAAACTGGAGGATTTGGGTTATTCGCCAGACTGGATTCGCGTCGGCTTCCTCGCCAGATTGCCCTCGTTTGCCAGATTGGGCCTGCCAGATTGGCGCCAGATTGGCTTCGACTACCCAGAAGTGGGCGCACAGGAGGCGGGTGGGGCAGTCGGAGGAGGACGAGTTTCAAAACGGGCGTTTTCCGTTCTGTTTCAGGTCCCGTGGCCTATCACAGATCGATCTGGGTCGAACATTGGCGCAGAAGCAGTGGGTTTGGGGTTCCGGTCGCGATGTATGGCAACGTTTGTATTTTGATTTTTTCGCGACGTCGGATGTAGGGGGGCGAATTGAGACAGCAGCAGATGGCCTTCGGTGGGGCCCGTCGTCGCCACGGCTGGACGCATCCTGGAAAACCGGTGCGTCTGGACCCCGGGAGGGGTCCGGGGACCGATTTTGAGCTGCCGCTGTCAAGCCGACACTGGCCGAGAGTAAGGTGCGGGCTCGCGGCATCTGCCCTCGCCCTCCGCCCGTCGGATCGATGCCGATGCTTCGGCCACTCCGACGCCGTGGCCGGGTAGGCACGGATGGGCGAGTGGGACGAGGCTGCGGCCCTTCGTGAGGCGCGGGAGGGGGCGGAGCGGAGAGGAGCGGAGCGCCGCAGGCGTCCCGGAGGGCGGCCCTTCTAGGAGCGCGGCGGCAGGGCCGTAGCCCTCAGATAGCGAGGAGTGTGAGTTTTTCTGCCTTGCTTTGACACGCGATGGGGTCCTTTCCTAATAGCGACGGCATCAATGGAAGGTGACTGCTCGTCGTGGGTTTCGGGGGAGGGAGGGAGGGTCAGAAAATCCGAGGAGGATTCTATACAACAGGCATACCAAATAGGAAACCGGCCTGCCATCGTGTGCCCCATTGACGTGTCTCATTCCTGGACGTCCTTGGACAGCCGCTGGAGTTCTGCGGGGACCGAGGTCGGCCGAGCAATATCCCCCCCCCAGATTTGGACCGCAGGATTTCTCAACGTTTGTAATTTGCTGCGCCGAGAGCTCTGCTGGTCCTGGAGTGCCCCCGTCGCCACGGCTGGATTCTGCTCTAAGCTTTTGTCAGAACGCACTCCGGGAGAGGCCTAGGAAGCAGTGGTATACGTACCTTTCTGTCCCCCCAGAAGAGCGAGGGGGTCAAGTGAGGTGAGGGTATGGGGAAAGAAAGGGGCGGAGGGCATCGGGGAAAAAGAGGGGACGGAGGCAATGGGGAAGAGTATTGCGGAATATTGCAGCAAGAACGGGCGGCGTGGGCTCGAGAAATCCATGTTATTCAATCGCTTCGCTCATTCCGCCGGCCCATATTGCATCATCGCCACTGCTTCGCCGTGGGCTCGGGGCCACAGTGGCGCCGCCGAGGAGGAGGAAGATGAGGATGGGGACGGGGAGGGGAGGAGGAGAGCCGAAGAAGCTTTTGGAGCGGTGGAAGCTGGGGATGGGATAAAAGGCCGTGGACGGCTCAATCCTGGTTCTGAGGTTTGACCCGACTCTGCGGAGCGGGACCTGGTGCTTGCCCTGGGGTCCGACCTCAAAATCCTGGGGATGAGGGGCAAGCGGCCTCAAGTTTATTGGAACTCCGTTTTGAAACCTGCTGGCAGAGAGAAGCAGTTAGACTTGCGTGCTGTCCAGTGGCTGTGCAAGCAGTTGCGAGCAGTTAGGCCTTACCTCTCTGAATCGACCTTGCAGGAGGCTGGACGTCAGGTGCTCAACTCGATCATCCAGCCCCCAAAGGCCGTGGCGGTGAAACAAGGCACGGACTTCTTCCCTTTCTTCAGAGCTGGCGGGGCCTTAGCTAGATGCGCCCTGCTGCCTGATTTTGATCCTGAGCTTATTTCGGATCTGAACGACATGATCGCTCAGGTTGCGCTCGCCGTCTCCACTGCCAAGGCCACCTCCGCGACGGAGTCGAGGAAAGAGTGGCACGAGTGGGTGAGCAAGGGCATCGATGCTGGAGGTCGCAACGCGCAAAAAGCTATCAGGGGTCCCGAGCCTTGGAAGCCGACCACCACCTTGTCTCGATGTGGGACCATTGTTTGCGACCCTGTCTCGTTGCTTCGGGCGGAAGGCGACAAGTTCGCCGCCATATGGGGCTCGGGCTCGGGGAAAGGAGTTGGACACGACCTTCTCCCGTATGCTCGCGTTTTGGAGCCTGCTGAGATTCGAGCTGTTTCTGAGAAGTATCGTCCTGCCTCTGCGATCAGCATCGACAGTTTTCATTGCCGTCGCTTCTGCTTGTTCCCCTAATGAGGCTTTGCGTGCTCTTGCGTTGTGGTTTGCTGTGTGGGAGGCCACTGGGGCCCTTCCCCGCCAGCTGTCTTGGGTCCTCATGGCCCTCCTGGCCAAGCCGACTTGGGGGTTCCGACCCACCGGGGTGTTCCCAGCCTCTACCGCGTTTGGGGTCGCGTCCCTAGGCACGCGGCCCTGCTTTGGGAACTGAAGTATCCCCGTAGAGGTTGGGCCGCGGGGGCCTACAGGAGTGCGGGAGATGTTGCCTGGAGGCAGGTCTCAAGGGCCGACGCGGGAAATGGGCGAGGAGATACTCCGGCTGCCATTACTTGGGGTCTTCGGAAGTATTACGAGCACGTTGACCTTAGGTGTCTTTGGCGCCAGTGCCAGAAACATCATTTCCCGCTCCAGCTGGCGCGCTTGGTCATTCAGGCCTACTCTTATGCCAGGTTCATTGCGTTGTGCGGCATTATCCAAGGACCTTCCTTCGTGTCCAAAGGCCTGGTGGGTGGTTGCTCCTTTGCGACCAGCCTTATCAGTGTTTTTGCCATGGAGCCCTTCGATCAGGCCCTCACCCAAATCCCGAGGGCCCTTGGCAAGAGTGTTGACTTCGACGCTTATGTGGACGACCTGAGCCTCAGCTGAACTGGATCAGCCAAGGTGGTCGTCGCCTCTCTCACTGCTGGAGCCAAGGCGCTCCACCGCGTCATCACGAGCACGCTCGGGTGCAAGCTGGCGGTGGACAAAGTTGGAATGGTTTGTAATATTCTTGACGTTTCGAGGCGCTCAACGCAAGAGCTGGGCCCCCTTGTCGGTCCAGCATGCTCTCGGGTGATCAATCTTGGCTCGGACTTTCCTTCGGGCAGGCCGCTGAGAGGCAAGGGCCGGTCCGCCAAGTTGAAGGCTCGAGCTGCGGCTGCGCTGAGAAAAACCAAGCGCCTGAGGGGCCTCACAGAGGCCTTGGGGCGCAAGTGTTTGCGTGTTTTTGCGGCTGGGCCCATTGTTGGGGCCATTTATGGTTCGGATGTGTACGGGGTCTCGGACCGTGAGCTGCTCGACCTGAGACGTATGGCCATGTCCACGGTGAAGCCCAAAGCTCAGGGGAGATCGCTCAGTGTATTGTGCCTGCTTTCGGATGATCCCACGTGGCGCGGGAGTTGTGCTCCCATCACTCGTTGGGTCAAGGAGGTCTGGACCCTGCACATTCAGGTTTTCCCTTGGACTACTCGTTGGGCCGAGCGTAGAGAAGGTTGGCAGGCGGTTTTTGTCGGCCCTTGTCTCGGGGCCGATTTCTGCGCTCAGGATGTCGCTGTATAGGCTTGGCTGGACCATGCCTAATTGTTGCACGATCCTAGATGGTTTCGGCCGTGAGATGTCCCTCACCCTTTCGTCCCCCAAGCTGGTCAAGCTTTTCTGCAAGGAAGCGGTTTTGAGGTGGGATTCGGGGGACAAGTATGGTTGTGATGTTCGGCCGTGCTGGGATGTGGGCAAAAAGCTCCTGTCGTCCAAAAAGGTTTCGGGGAAAACGAAAGGTTGGGTCCGAGCTCAGGCCGCCAAGGCCTGCTGGACTGCGACCGACGTCGCGGCAGCAGGCTAAGAGTTTAACGACCAGTGCGGGTTGTGCGGCACGGTCCGCGACACCTTGTTCCACAGGCTGTATGAGTGTCCTTGTGCGCAGGATGCCACGAATGCGGTTTTGGACAGAAGTATTCAGAAGGAAGCTCTCGAGTTAGGTGCGCACCATATGGATATGTGCTTGTGCCTCTATGGAGCCTTCAGGCACCTTGGAGACTATGCCCCACCGCTGCTCACCGATGGAGGTACGAGTTGGGAATGGTTTGCGGATGGCCTTCCCGGCCTTGCCAATCCTGTTGCTGCCCCCTCCGTTCTTCCTTCCACAGGGTTCTGGGGGGACGGCTTGTGTCGTAGGCACACTGTTCGCGAGTTGTCTCGGGCTGGTTGGGCCGTGGTTGTGGTTCCAAGTTCGGGCGAACGCCTCGGGGTTAGAAGAGGTCCTCTTTGAGCTCCTTGGCCTCAGACCCCCCAGGGAGCGGAGTTTGGGGCCCTTGCCTGGACCTCTGTTCAAACCGAAGGCCCTGCCCAACGTTATTCATATTGTGCCAACGTCGTCTGAATCGTGGGCCTGCCGATGGTATCCGCGCGAAGCGTCAATATGCTGTTGAGATCATCCAGGCGAGACATTATTTTGGGCCTAACCTTGATTCGATCTCCGAGGTTGGTGCCCACAGAGACCTCTTCGAAGAAGGGCTTCCGGCACGCTTCTGCCAAAGAGGGGGCTGGAAAGCACCCTGATATGTCTCCTGCTGAGCACGAACTTTTAAATCATCCTATCAAAGTCTCGCGAGCGGTCTTGCTTGCGGGCGCAGAGCTTTTGCCACTTTGGCCGGGACCAGAGCTCAGGGGCCTGAAGCGTATCCCGCCGCTGTCAGTCCCTGCGGCTCCTGTTTTAGAGCTCGTCCACGTCTGGTCCCAACAATGCTCGTGCTGGCGTTGTCGTGTGTGCCTCCGAGTGTCGAGGGCGTTGTCCAATCCTCTGGGAGGACCGTGCCCTGGGCAGTCTCGTTTGGACCAGGGACAGTTGGAGAGACTGGGCCACCGTGTCATTGCTTTCCCTTGCA